TTCTCACATTATAAACAGATGTTGAAAAATGGGACATAATTGAAAAAAGTATTCAAGTCCTCAGAAATATGTACTGCAGCAAAACCCTAGGGCAGCACAATGTATTTAACTTACCAAAGAAGAAGTTATGGAGTCAGTAGTTATCTGTGCAGGGAGGTTTTTGATGGTAAAGACTTCTTTCATCTAGCAACCAGTGTCATAATAAAATTCTCTGGTTATGAATGGATGCTGGATAAATTCAGCTTGAAATTAAGGTTCAGATTTGTAAATAAGGCTGGTAGACATTGCAACAACTGCATGAGAGGTATTATGAATGCACTTGATCTAAATAATTCTCAGGTTGAGATTATTCTTTGAAGTATGGGAGATTTAGCCCAACCAGAGATGACAGAAGAATTATTTGAATTAAATTCTGTGGTCTGTATTGTGTAGGACGTTAGACTGGAGAACATTAACTGTCCCTTCTGTACCTAAAATCTATGAACCTAGAACTTTAATATTTAAGGGGCTGGTTTTAACATAAATCACAGGTGTTTAATACAGTTGTGGCAAGATAAAGTGTCCTTTAAGTGAGAGTAAATGCAATTTATGCACACTTAAAAGGCACTTTACACTGCCTGAGTAGTGTGAAGAGGCCTTGTTATAGTGACAATAAATCCACTGTTGTTTGGAAATGATAGGGACCTTCATGATTATCTGCTGTGACTTATGGCAGAACCCATGCTATAGAACTTCACGCAGTATTTCCCATACCCAGTGATGTGTGCTTGATCTTTTGGAAAGGGACTGTGTTTTATGTCTTCAGATCAGTTTCTTGATTCTCTTTGCTCAAATCCAGCACGTCTCTAAATTTATTCTTTTTTTTTTAAAAAAAAAGCCTTTTGGGTGAAGAGTGGAAATTTTTAAAGTACCTTTGACATTCAGTTATCATGGACTGATGTGATGTGATAAATTTTGAGGAAAGTGGGACTGCAGTAGGTGATATGCTTTTAAGAGGGAGACTTAAAAATTCACTTTCTCCACTGCACTAGTTTTTCTCTGAATAATTACAATTTATTAGGCTAGGTTAGCTTGCTGAAATGTGCAAATATGATGAGATGTACAGAGAAAAATGGTCTTTTGATTCTGATTAAGATGGTAGCTATTGTTTGACTGGGTCTCAAAGATGTAAATCAGAGTCAGAGCTAAGTGGTTTTGAGTACTCCTCTCTCTGCTCTTCAAAGGAAAGACCTCAATAGCATACATTTCAAGTTATGCTTAGCATTTATCACCTGAAAGTGCAGGCAATGGTCAGTGCTAACTGCATATTACCAGTAATTCTTTGGGCAGCAAGTATATGTGTGTCTGCAAGCTCTTTGCTGCTTATTTCTCACTATTTTTTTTCCAACAGGAAATTGGCAGAGGTAAGTTATGTTCAAATGATGAAACTGCATGGTGCCTTCTCTTTGGACTGTAGCGATGCATACTCTATTTCAGTTACAACTGAAGAGAGTGAAAAGGTTTAGCTCATGGACAGTAGATCGTAATAAAGCGACAGATACAATGTAGGTTATGTGCTATCAGACTTAATAGAAGGCCTGAGGCATGGTGGCTTTATGTACTCACTCTTAGCTTTTCTTTAATATTGTCTTTGAGTTGAAGGCATCCTGGGAGCTAGTCCCTCCAATCATTCTGTAATGCATGTTTAAGAGCGCATTTTTAATTCTCAGCCTAATCCAGAATTTATATGGCTTCATCCAACAAGCTTCATAAATAGTCACAATAGTTTATTTTTCTGATAAACAGCAAATATAACAAACTGGATTTTCAGGGACCATCTTTTGTATATAGTGCATTCCTGTGACATTAAATGAACTTCAGCGTCCTGACCATAAAAGGAAAATTTCCCCAAAGAGCAATGCAGGAAAACCTCTTTTCTCCAGAAAGCTTTCTGCTTTAATACACAGTCTCTGAAGAGATTGCTTAGACAAAAGATAAATTCCTTTCATTGCATAAATGCCTTTAACATTTAGTAGAAAGGGATCAGAGTTGATCACTCGAAGATTTTTTATTATTTTTTTTCTAATTTATTAAGGTCCGTAGGTTATTAATATAGCTTCAGTAAAGCCTAGTATATTGCTTTACAGTCCTACTGATTTAATTCTCTTTTACATTTTTGGTTTTTATATACTGCAGGACTGCAATCGAAAGGGAGAGAAAAATGCCAGTTTGTTTTGTTGTTGTTGCTGTTGTTGTTGTTTTTGTTTGTTTGTTTGGCCAAATTCAGAGGAGGATGACAGCACCAAAAATATATATATAATATATATATATATATATATATAAATCTTGTTTTTCAATATAAGGAAAATAACTGTATAAAGTGTTGGGCATTATATCTAGCTATGGTGTTGGTGAGAACTGAAGAGCCCTGATAGCCTACCTAGCACCACATTAGATGTCTGTTGATATTTTCAGTGTCCTTTTCCTGTTTGTACTTAGTTGCAACCTAAGTCACTCACCAGATGTGCTTTCCAGTCACTTTTCTTGTGTAAAATCTAGTGCTCAGAATCCTTTCCCATCATCAGTTTGAACAAGTTTCCTTTTCCTCCTGTGTTTTTGCATACACAGGATCAAAACCGAAGCTATTCTTGCTCATCTTTAAATATATATATTTACATATATATATATATGTGCCAAAAGCTTCAGGAATCCTGAAGAGTCCTTCCGCTCCCACAGACAACAGTCTCATAGACTACAATGTTGTCATAAAACTGTTGTCTGCTGTTTTATGTATAACAGCTGCTATATTTTTACAGATAATATTAGCTGTAATGTTAATTATTATTCTTCTAATATTTAGTAATAATTACTTAAATGTTATTAATATTTATTGTGGTATTATAATAACTGACTTGTTCAATAGCAGACTTTTCAAAGTGAAAATGAAAAGCAATAATCAAACCTAACACTAACAGGACATATATATATATATAAATGTGTGTGTGTGTATATATATATATACACACATATATGCGTACATATATATATATATGTACATATATATATACATATATATACATATATACATATATATATACATATATACACATATACATATATACACATATATATGTACATATATATGTGTATATATATATACACACACACAGACACACACACACACATATATAACTGTTTGGGGCAATTCTTCCTTTATTTTTTTGTCCAAAATTAAATGTTCTGTCCTCAATAAGAGAAGAAGAAAAGAGGAAATTTATACCATCTATTATAGGTATATTGTTGGATTTGCAGCTTTTCTGTTCTAAAGGACAGTAGAAATTAGAGGAGCACAAGGATCTTTGGTATACAGGGTCCCACCATATCAGACTGCATTGCCTTACTCTCAGGCATGTTACAATTGCCATAAAACATTGTCAGCTTTAGGATTGTGTTCTATCCCAATACAGAGGGGGGCCAGTTCATCTCCTAAATATAGTGACCATGCTGAGGCAGCTGGACCAGGGTCTATGACAAAAATCTGATGCTTTTAGATGGACTCACGGAGGTTTCTCAAAGCCAGACTGGCCAATAAAACATGAGTCCATGTTTGGTAACACACTTTTCTGCTCTAGTATCACTTCTAAGGAAGACAACATGAATTTAAACTTGGTGACCATGGTAAATAATGAAAGATGAGGGGAAAATAATGCTTGTGGGCAAATAAAAATGTCACAGAAGAACACGGTGGAAAGAGTTCTAATCTAAACTTTATCTTTGAATTTTGAATGAGTTAATAAATATCTTAATAGGATTTTTTGTTTTTGTTTTGTTTACTATCTATAGTACTTCACCTAATTCCTTTTTCTGTTTGTGTAGTCAAGATATTAATGTTATATGTTTTGAAACTAGTTGTTCATACCATCTGTTAAAAGAGTAGATAGATGTAAAGATAAAATATGATCATAAATAGAACATGTTACATAGAAGTTGCAAGGCTCAAAAGATAGGGATTATTGATGGACTTTTGAAGCTTTGCCAAACATTATTACCTCAGTGATATTTATGGATTTAATGCACACACAGGATACTTTGTGTGGGAAAACTCAATAAATCTTTCTGAAAGTTCCTGAATCCCTAATTAGCAGAATACTTTATAGAGGCTATTTGGCTGAAAGTCTCTGTAGGAGAGAAAACAGTGATATACTTCTCAGCAAACCATCATGAACTTTCCTGGAATTGGTCTCAGACAAAAGCAGTGAAAGAAAAGCCCTGTCAGGTACTGGGACACCTCTCATAATGCTTCTTCCAAGCTTTCTCAGATGCCTAAAGTACTGCATCAGTCTCTGATGAGCAACGTGCTAAAAAAAGATTTGGAGCTCTTTGCAGTTCTTCCTTTCTTGTCCCACACAAGAAAGGTCTGGTCTGTGGCTTTTAAATTCAGTTGTGGAAAACCTGTTCTCATTTTTGTCTGAATGATGTGACTTGCTGGATATTATTTATTATGGCATTTCCCATTTACATGTACCAGACAAGCAACAAGCTAAAAGCGTAATCCTTAGCAAAAATGAGAAATATCTCAGGGAGAGAGATAGCACAGAGAAAAGATTGTGTTAACAATCTTTAAGGAAGATAAAGGTTGAGTTTTAAAAATAAATGATTGAGTTGTTTTTTCTAGGAATGCTTCCTCAATGCTGAAAAAAAAATATATATATATTGCTATGAATAAAATTAAGCATGAATAGCCAGCATCTGATGGCAGTGCTTTAAAGTCTATGTTATGTGCTGAAGTTCAGCAGGAGGATGTTTTCTGCTTATTCCCAAATGTAATAGAGTTGGTTTGTCATATTGATTTATAACTTGTGTATTTCATTCATATTTATTACTACTACAACTTTTTAAATGTGTTTATGTGTTTGATTTTCACACAGATGTGGTCCAGAAAATAAAATTGTTTCAAAGTTTTATAATTCATGGTTTCAAAGGAAGTAGATAAAAATATTGAAGTAAATATTTCACAAATATTTAGTTATTCTGCAAAGAAGGTGGAATGTATTTCTTTTTAATCATTCAGTATTAAATATCCACTTATTGAAAACTTAAATTTACTGTACTTTAACTTCTTAAGAACTCTTCGTACAACACATATTTGCCTTCTGCACTGAAAAAGGAATGCTGAATGACCAAACTTCAAACAGCTGAAACTAAGATAAGAAATGCTCATATAAAACCTGGTAAAATGTAAGAGAAGTGTAGGGGGAGAAAAAAAAAGAAAAAAAAAAGTCTGGCCTATTTTATCCATAAAATCTGTACTCAGAGAAGGGAAATGTTGATAACTTGATGCAATTTTTAGTAAATACAATATGGTGATACTACTCATCACTTCTATAACATTTAAAAAGGAGAAATAAATACTTCTATTAGTTTCCTACAGCACTCTACAAGACTGCTTGACAGAACATTTTAACATGCAACAAGGTAAGACCAACATCAAAATATTGTAGCCTCTTAGTGATTTAGAAACAAGGGAATGAATAAAATCAATAAATGTATGCTAAATTACAGATGTAATCGAATGAAAAATGACATACATTATTGATCAATGTTTCAGTTCAAAATATGACAATAGGTTATCAACCTAATTCAGAATTATGATATTTTACCTTTTTTTAAATGCATTGCAGGATTTCTACTTTAATCAATAGTCTCTTTACAGTTGGAAAATGTGCTGGTCTTGATTAGATTTAATGAACAATAAACAAAATACATTTCAGATAGTTCTATAAATTCCGTGGAGAACTTTGATTTATTAAATGGATGTTTCACTCAGGGGAAAAAAAAAAAAAAAGTGTAAAATGAGATGTAGCTCGCCACATTTCATTTTATAGGTCACTATTCGTGTGTTCATATTCCTCCTTCCATGAAAATTAACTGCACACTACAGATCTGACACAGAAACCTTTTGCTAAACCTTGGAGGCATAGTTATTACACACGTCTACTCTGGTGACTTAAAGCATCAGTTTGCAGCACAGCAAGGCACAGAAAGTTGTGTTAAAGAGTTTACAGAAGTGCTAAAAAGTGCTACAGTCTTGCAGCTTCTAACCTCTTCCTGATTACTGACCCTTATACCTTTCTCAAGGTACAAACACCTCTATAATGGACGTAAGACTACTGATAATAAACTTGTTTTTCTTGGTTATTTTACTCCTAAGAAGTAATACACAGATTCCCTTACATACACTCTGCAGGTTATGGGATAGCTCTTTAGAATACGTTACAAAATCATGACTATATAAAAATAAATGTGAACCAAACCACTGGGTGGCTACCTACATTGGCTGAGGGAATATTACAGATGGAATTTAACTTTTGTCATTCCTTTAACTGTCAACACTGCCTCCTAAAAGTGAAAAGACACATCTGTGTAGCTAAAGTGTTTACACCTTACTCCCGCCTGGGAAATGTCCTGCTGCAGCCCGGAATCTGCATTATGAAAAGTGGGAGGGATTTCTGATTTTGCAGGGAAAAAATAAAAATAAAAAATCTTAGGATAAACTTTGCACTAGGCAGGATTGTGAGACAGCCCAGCCTTCTGATAGTGCACTCCCTTGTTGATATTTAAATCCTTTATTTTTCTCTGACTTTTTTTTCCCTCTGTGGGACTTTTTATTGTCTTTATTTTGTGTCTCCTCCTCCTTACAGGCCACACACCATGAGGTAAAGACAATAGCTAATGATAACCACTATTTCACCCATGCTATCAGGTGACAAGTATATTTGCAAGTGAAACGTGTAGAGACAGAGAAGTGAAAAACAAAACTATGTCTGGCTGCATGACTTATCCCTTGTGATTCATTGATCAAAGCATCATGATAGGAGCAGGAACACAAGATAAAAGCCTCCCAAGAAGCCGACTGCTGATGATTTATGCTAGCTGTACCACCATATCTTCAGGGATGGAAGCATACACAGTTCAGGTCCATATTCTTTCTTCATCCCATCCTTTACACTGTGCTTCTTCTTTACACTGTGCTTCTTCCTTCTTTCTCCACTGAAGGTCCCATGTGAAAATGTATAAGTAGTATAGGCTTCTTCTTCCTTTGTACCTCATAAGTCTGTCCTGTTGCTCACTCTGTGAAATGCAAAAGCATATTACCTGATAGATGAAGAAAAAATGCCATACTTTTGCAATTGCTTTTAATTATACCTGTAACACCTTACTTGTTGCCTTCAAGAACTAGCTCTTTACAGTCATTCAGGTTTTTTGGAGTTCTCTTGTTGACCTTAAAATGATCCAAAAGATGTGTTAGGTTCAGATAACTGCAGCATCAGATTCTGTGATATCTGTGCTGGACCCAGGTAGACAAGGCAAATTTATCTCTGTTCTGACTCCATTGATTTAATCTGAGCTAGACATGGGTAGTGGTAGACCAGTTATTTAGCAAGTCTATTTATGATGACATTGCTGATTTCATTTGTCAATGTATCCTCAGGAATAGATGTCTTAAAAACAAAAGATGTGCCAGAATGAATCTTTCCAGTGGTGCTTGTAACCATATTGTCTCTCATTTATTTTTGCTATTGGAAAGATGGATGGTTCATTTTGACATAGGAGAAAAAATGGATTTTGTATGTAGCAATAACTATAAAGAATTGGAAGTTTAAATGAAGCAGCTAGTCTGTCATATCAGATTAAGGAAAAATAGATACAATTTAATGACTAAAAGAATCATTATAATGATCTGGAGAAAAAATATTTGAGTCATATATCTGACTCGGTTCTTTTCTGTGGACTGCTTTTAATAATCAGGTACTGGATGTGTTCTCATATACTGTTTTCTTTAGCAAACCAGGATTATTTTATTTATCTATGTGAAAATGATCACAAAACCATGACACAATATATACAGTACTATTATTCTTATCAAAGGAAAACAAAACAAACAAACAAACAATAGATTAAATTAAAATAATAAATATTATTGGAAACAGTAGAATGAAATGTGCTAGTCTATATAGTCATTTCTGGCAGGGGATTGCTTTTAGATTTTCTCTGAATATATATGCCTTACGTAATTTTTAAAATTAAGTAAAATAGAAACTTCCGTTTAACATAAAAATGACATTCTAAGAAATGAACTTATTTGTGATCATACTTTCCCTGGTGTCAGCACCTGGATTCTACTTCCAGAGGGATAGAATCCCTTCAACTCCTCAGCTGTAACTCATCAATAAATGTAGCTGTTGCCCACTGTATGAATGCATTACACAAGTTTATGCCTGTTTCTAAGCTATAAAATAATGAAAGCATCTGGCAAATGAAACAAACAAAAACAACTTGCTAGATGTTCTTTTGAATTTACAATTTATCTGAGATAAAGCTGAAAACCTATGGAACACATGGGACATAATGGCATAAAATTAACTTAAACATTTTTGGAATTTGCATTTTCCTATCCAGGTTTGACTTCCAAGAAGAATGTTGACTAGACTGTGGTGCCTTCTGTGGACTTGCAAGTAAAAATGCTAAAATATTGTTTTTAATTGTACTGCCTCTGTCTATTTGAATGTACATTTAAAATATTCAGAGAAGCTAAGTAATTGAATGTACTTTTGCCGATCTCACCCCCCAAAAAAAATTCTCTGTGAAAGAATTTAGTGAAGCCCTAAAATGCTTAGACATAAATAACTAAGGATAGGTACAAATGGTTTATCTAGTACAGCACATTTAAGGAATCAATAAAGACTATTAACTGTTTTAATTAAAAACAGACAATAGACAGCTTTCAAGTCAAAAATTCAACAACTTCACTTATCTCCCCGAACTGGTCCTGCCAGAAAAAGTAGTACTATAGAAATATTAACAACTGAAACCTCTTTGGCTGCCATTGTTAACAAAGAAATTAACCAGTGAAACACCAAAGGGTGTCTGTGTGTCTTCAGGAGATAATCAAAACTGCTAATTTTGGTTATTTGCTTACTTCCAGTACTGTATGATATTTGTTTCTTGTTAAAGTTGTATTGATCTTCCATCACACAACAATTTTTCAATTACTTAGCATGCTGACAGGGCAGCAATGTCACAATGGATGCGGGCAATTAAGCAGTCAACATGGTGAGAGGCATACAATTTACACCATGTCACTTTTTATAGATAAGGTTATTGATGAGGTGCATATATATGAGACTGCATGTACCTTGAAGCAGAACTGTTGGGTATTATTTAGGAATTCCCAAACTAGAAAAGTCAGAGGCTCATTTTGTCACTGTTACAATCTTATTAACTCACTGCTAGTTTAAAAAGGTTTTTTATTTTGTTATAAATATATATCCATCCATCACTGACCTAGAAACCTATGAGGTATTTTTGCTTCTTTTACACCAGAAATATTTTGTGTGAACAGCTTGTATTATCCCTAAAATTTTCCAAAGAAATGGAAGTGCTGAAATCTTATCCCTTAATTAGGATGTTCAAAGAGTTGGCAGGGTTTGCTAATGCCATTTTCATACTTCTCAGAGACTTTTGTAATGTAAATAGAAAGATTTCATAAGCATGCATACACATTTTTTCAGAAACTAATCCAGAGTTACGGTTCAAACTTGGGCAACTTTCCACCTCAAACAGTGCTGAGACCAGTCTTACCTGTAACCACCTCTACTCTTCTCTGAAGCTTGACTGCCTCCTGGACTCTCTGGATATATCATTAATTGGGTAAACCACATGAAATAAAGGACTCTTAATAAAATGTGATTCATTCAGCACAGTAAATATGAACAATATATGTGTTCCTCCAAGAGTTAAGAAGAATAACAGGCTGAGAAGACATAGGAAGTGATGGAACCTGTCTAGGTCTACAAGTTTGACATGTCAGCTTGGTTTATTTTCTTTTCCCCTTCTGAGTCCCAAGCTTGCAGTCTGCATTCCTGTTCTCTACAAGTTAGTAATCTCAAGGAAAATCCTTTTCTGTCTCCTTTTTTTCCCAATCCCCAAGTTCCAAAAGTTTCTTCCCTGTTGTAGCTGTGAGATACTTACTCAGAGTGAGGATGGGTGGTAACAGGCTCTGTGATCCCTGACAGCTGTGGTGATTTTGTGCCCAAGCACCTTAAAGCTGAGCTAAGCAGGAGGCAAGCTGCTGTAGCCCACACTGATCCTACAGCCACGTCTGACTCCTTCACCTTAGGTTCCCTTCCTGGAGTGAGACCCTTCTGAGAAGTGAAGCAAGCAGAGATCAGGGGAAAGAGGACAACAACTCCATAGCACCCTGTGGAGCAAGGACAACACCTCCATGGCATCCTGTGGAGCCTGGGGATGGTTCTCACTCATTTCAAGAGACCAGCTAGGAGATGAGGGAGCTGGGAAAACTGGGCAGCAAGGATTTTCTCTTTTTCAGGGAGGGGAATGAAGAGTGCAGGCAACATGAATTTTTCACCTGGTACGGGAAGCTATGATGGAGTATTTGTTATCCCACTCTTTCCAGAGCTTTGTAGATGTAGGCATGGCTACAGTAGGCACTTCTGTCCTATTTAGAAACAGGACCGCTAGAGTGCTTACCATTATGTTTCAAATGACAGAAAGCTGTAATTTCTTTCTCTAAAGTATCAGTAGTTACTTTTAATGTAGAACATTTGTAGTGAGGGCTCTGACACTTACAGGCTGTGGCTCACTTCTCCACCAGCAAAAGCTCAAACCCACATCTCTCAGGAATGCACACCCACCACCATTTGGCTAGAACATAGGAGAACTCCAGTTTTTACATACTGAAATGCTGCCAGTGTGGTGAAAATACCACAGAACTGGTGGTGAGGTATACGGAGAGGTTGTCTGAAGAATGTGGTGAATCTGGTCTCTACTCCCAGATTTATTGCTAGGCATTTAGTCATCTCAGGACACAGGTTCACGTCCAAACTTTACTGCAGAATGACTTCAGACTTCCACTTTCTGCCTAATTTCAAGGTCAGAAAGCTTTCTTTCACATATGTATGACGTTTGACCCTGGGCACAGCCAAGCTTTCTCCCAAAGGGAGCTTTCATCTGTACACTTGCTGGTCTCCAGGAGACAGGCTGCATGTGCCAGTGTGAAAGGAAAAAAAAAAAGGATGAGAAGCAAGGCTATGGAAGAAGAGCTGGCTCCATTTTATTTCAACCCACAGAGTTAGAGCAGTCTGTAAGGAAGTAAAACTACTAGAATGTGTCCAAAGGATGACAATAAGAATGGTGAAGGGTCTGGAGGGCAAGAGGAGTGAGGAGCAGCTGAGGTCCCTTGGTTTGTTCAGCCCAGAGCAGAGCAGGCTGAGGGGAGGCCCCATGGCGGCCTGCAGCTCCCTCACGAGGGGAGCGGAGGGGCAGGCGCTGAGCTCTGCTCTCTGGGGACAGCGACAGGACCCAAGGGAACGGCATGGAGCTGGGACAGGGCAGAGGTCAGGCTGGGTGTTAGGGAAAGGGTCTGCATCCAGAGGGTGGTCAGGCACTGGGACAGGCTCCCCAGAGACGTGGTTACAGAACTGAGCCTGCAAGAGTTTGGACAAAGCTCTCAGAAATATGGTCTGATTCTTAGGTAGGTCCAGTGTGGAGACAAGACTTGGACTTGATGATCTTTGTGGGTCCCTTACAACTCAGGATATTCTGTGATTCTGTGATTTTCTATTTCTTTCCTGTGAAAAATTGTGTCAAGACTTCAAGATGGACTGATTTTTTTTTCATTAACCTTTTTCTGGAAGCCTTAATGTAGTTTCTTTTCAATAGTCCTGTTAATCATAATATGGCACCTATTATCTAAACACCAATCCATTGTTGTTATGGGCTAAAAGGAGAACAGGAAGCACTCATCTGAGCTGCTTCATACCTCAGAGCTTTTCAGCAGTTCTTCACATGGTGTTTTGTATGAACACTTAGCCGGCTTCAGAAGCCCGTTTAAAGTATCTCTTAACACCCAACTACATATCTTGCTTTACCAGGAATATAAGCCTTTACCAGGCTCTTCAAGCCTCTTCTTCAAGTGCAAATGTCATGTCTGAAGCACAAGGTGAGGAGTAAGTGTAGGGTACAGTAGAGAGGGTAGGCCAATGTAGAAGTGAACTCTCCAGTCACTGTGCATTAACTCTAAGAATTAATCATCTCTTGATCTTATAGCATCTCTTCCCATCTGATCTTTAGCCAGGTTTCTTCCCACAAAAATCTTCATCCCTGCTCATGCCATGGCCTAACTATAGGTCACTGAACCTCACTGACTGGTGCAGAATGTTGAATAAAAGATTGATCTCTTTGGCAATGACTGCTGTGCTGATGATTCCACTTACTCAACAACCTTCAGTTAATGAGCCACCTTGCTAAGATGGTGCTAGCATTATTTCAGCATCATTTGTCATTTGCTCATGTTCACTCTGAAGTTCTTATTGCATGTGATGCTTAGCAGAACATTCTTCTCAGCTCCTAATTTTAAAAGTCAAGTGCCTATTGATCTTGTTAAACAGAGCTATACCATTGTAAAGCATTATCCTAAACATTTACTACTACTGTAGCTCTCTTAATATATACCATGTCTCCAAGAACTGACCTTACAAAGGACAGGAAAGTATTTTAAAATCCCATTTTATAAAAAAGGAAATTGAAAACTGGATGAGTTATTAGTACAGACCTTGGCAAATCAAGGACTAGTATCCAGAGCTCTAAAACCCAGGGCACTCTGCCTACAAAAAGGTCAGCAGGAGAACAAGGGAAAAAAAAATAAAAAAAATATGTAGCTAGGTAATGGAAGGTTGTTGTTTCCTATCTGTGGTGACATAAAGGAGGGATGTGACAAGTGTATAAAACAAGACATTTCAATGCTCATCAACTCAATTACTCTTGGGATCACTTCTCTTAAGGACTTTTGCTGTAATTTCCAGAGAAACAAGGATCAAAATAATTGAAGTTTAGACCTTCACAGACCATCTCACTGAAGAATTTGAATGGCTGATGAGCAATTTACCAGTTCATTTGTTTATAGTCTCTTTCTTCCATTTAATGGTCATCAAAACTACTCCTAAAGATTCCATTAAGTTTTATAATTACTATTTATTGACTCCCCTGGATCTTTTATTCCCACCCCTTTCCATCTCTTGAGTAATTCATCTTCAAAATGCTTCTTTTTGGATTATGTATTGCTCTAATCCATCATCAGAGAGTTGAATTAGTGCAATACATCATAAAGGGGTTGCTATTCTATTACTCACTAATGTAACTAACTGACAACAGCATCTTGGGAGTGCTTCAGTTTTTTATGTAATGGTTGTCATCAGTGTTTTAGTATTTAAAGTTACGTTTTTAAGGATTTAATCAATAGTCAAAATGAAAGCAATGTATCTTTGGTGGAAGAAGCCACTGACATACATGAATATAACAAATTGAAAATTATTTTTCTAATGTGTCTCAGAAGATACAGTCACAATGATGGACTTGAAAATATAAAGTAATCCCTTCAGGATTTGCTTTAAATTATTTTGCTTTTTGTTGATGTCAAATTCAAACATCATTTAACTACAGAAATTTCCATGCAACCTGTCTCACTATGCCGTTGCGTAGAACCCAGCATGGTTGCATTACAACCAGAGCATTAAGCAGAGCAAAGCTGTAGATCTGAACGTAGGTTTCTGGCATGATTTTGGCTTGAGCCAACTGGCACTCTCACCAGCAATTCCCAGACTTCACTGTGGGGTTTGTCATGGTCAAGGAACCATTCTCAATAAACAGTTTGGATGTACACATCTCATTCTGGAGATAAGGATACTTAAATGTTATGGATATGGACTGACCATGACAGCTGGCCTCAGAACCAGAGAGCAGACCCTGCCTAGTATGCCAATGTAGATGTCACGAGACATCCTACTTTTTCTGTTCACCTGAAGGCATCTCTGCTTGCCTGTGACTCCTCCTCCTGCCCCAGGGACATCAACTGCCTGAGGCAGCTGCTGTCACTGTCTCAGGCAGAATTGTCCGCATGTAAAATTCCATCTCAACATTTTCCAAATAACCTGAGGAAAATAATTGCTGTATTCTTAAAACTTCTTGAAAGAGCAATATTTCAAGAATTCAGAAACAGTGTCAAGCAAGTAGCTTAAAAACAGTGTCAGCATTTTGCAAAACTGGTATCCCAGTCCAGTATGTTTGTAAAAGCTGATATGTAAGCAAACATATCAAATTGATAAAATAAATAAATAAATAAATAAGGAAAGAAAGCAAAGCAAAGCAAAGCAAAGCAAAGAAAAGAAAAGAAAAGAAAAGAGAAAGTTAGCTATAATTGCTTATGCTTTCTGCTTAGTTTTGTCTATATTACACTGCCCTGTGTATTTATATTGCACAGATTAGAAGGAAGAGTAGGGAACTATCAAAAGGAACAGAATGCAAGATCCCAGACAGGGTTCTTTGGAGACAGGGGTTTCTCAAACACCCATATTTTAAATGAGCATACTGTTCAGTGTGGGATTGGGTTTTAGAGTTAGTATTATAATTATTGGATGAGAATCAGTATTTTTTTGATTGTGACTTTATTTAGCAAATTCCAGACACAAAGCACATCCACAGTCTGTTGACTTGAACAAATGAATATTTCAAATCTGGCACTTTTTGAAATATATAACTAACCTACTACAGTTCACCAATTAAGTGTTTGTTTTCTGAGAGGCAGTTTTCTCTCTTTGTGTCCAAATACATATCCAATGTGCATGTTCCGAGAAGGTGTTATTTTGCATTTCAGGACTCTTTGTCACCTTGGTCCAAGGACATAAAATCCTACGTTAGATCCCCTAGAAAATAAAGTATAATAAAATAAAAAATCAACTTATTATTCTATTTCAGTATCTTTTTTCTCCATAAATAATAGATTACTTCTAACCTGTAATGAATTTTTATGGTCCAGGTATCAAGCTTCTGAAAAACAATAGTTAGGCAAGATTTCAGCCAAAAAAAGACAGTAATCAGAGGAGAGTCATACATGGTGGTGGTGGCATGGGACATGAGGCTACATGGTGCTTCTGAGATGGAGCAGAGCACACAAATGAGTTACAAGCCCTTATCCTGTTATTCGGCATGGATTTAATAGCCATAAAAATCTAAATCTTTGTAGCAAGCATGTATCTGCTTCATACCAAGTCGCATTTGATATTTTATAAACCAGAATCTGCTTTTTTTTTATGTATTTTTTTATAATTATTGCATCGTCTCTTTATCCTTATATTTAGGAATAAGGGTGTAATTAGAGCATTGCCCAAATACACTAAAACAGAAAGCGTA